TTCTGTGAGAAATACCCCTTAGGCATCTGTCACAAGTTATAATACAGTAGAAGAAAGTTAGAAAAAAATAAATAATACTAGTCATTATTGATTATATTTTTCTAATTGGAAGTAGGGAAATATCACCTCTCATTCTGCAGACAGATGCTCATTTCCAGAGTTGAAAATTAGTCTGTGAGTCCAGCCTATTTGTGGCAGCACAAACAATAGCAATCTTAAAGTGAGCTACACTAGTTGCAATGAATAAAGAATTCCACCTTCAGAGGGGCATCTGGATGGGGGAGAAATGGATTGTAGTCTACACTATGACCTGTAGGGATGGATTGTAGGCATGTACATTCCTACCTGGGTGAATCTGCTCATATAGTTCCCCTTGCCTGAATTCTCTCTCAGCTCATCTCTGCTTATCTGTCTCCTGACACACCTAGAATCCTATCTCTTCCATTCAACCTATCCCTTTGATGGTTCTCAAACTTTAGTTCAGTGAGCATCCAAATCACCTGGGGTGGAGGAAGGATGAGAAAGAGGCTGAGGAAGTTGTTAAAATACCTTTTCCTGGGATCTGTGGCCAGAGATTCTGATGTAGCAATGCCTTTTCCTGGGATCTGTGGCCAGAGATTCTGATGTAGCAAGTGTGGTGTGGGGCCTAGAGTTCTAAAGTTTTAACAAGCTCTTATGGGCTTCTGATGCAAAGGATCCCCAACCACATTTGGAGAAACTCATTTTAGGACCTTTTATAAATTTATATCATTCTCTGCCATGTGGCTTATGCTATCATGTCTGTACTGTCTTTCCCATAAGATTATGGGTGCCAAGAGCTAAGTACTGCATACAAACTAAGCTTGATAACTAATATAGATTCCTTTTTCTGTTCTTTACTTTTTCAGTTTTGTTGAGATATAATTGACAAAGAAAATTGTATATATTTAATATATACAACTTGATGTTTTAACATATGTATACATTGTAAAATGATTACAATTAAGCTAATTAACACACCCATTACCTCACATAGTTACCATTTTCTTTTGTTGTTCTTTATTTTTTAATCCCTCCTGGAATATGACATCAAGTTAAAAAGGACAACGAGGAGAAGGTAATTAGAAAAACAATTACTAAAAAAATGCTTTTTTTCAATGGTGAGAGAAGTTTAACAAATTGCATTGAATTTTGAGGAAAATGAAAGAACCAAGGTCAGGGACAGCAAAAGCCTCCATTGGCCTTCCATGTCCCTAAAGGATGCTAAACTCCATTCAAAACAACAAGCCAGGAGTGACTAAGCCTCAGTCAGACACATTAAATATGCCTCATTGCAGATGTTGGTCTGAACTGGGTGTCTAAAGCCATTTGATCACACTGAAGAATTTAACATTTAAAATTGATGTGCCACCAGAATCACTCCAAGGCTTGAATGGGCCTGAAATCCGCAGATAATTTCTTGGAAACTTGAAAAGGGGTGGGGGGTAGAATGTCTGAACACTTGCAAATTCTAAGAGTTCTCTATCCTGTCCAAGTTTATTGGATGTGATGGTTAATCTTATGTATCAATCATTATTTCTGGGTGTGTCTGTGAGGGTCTTTCCAGATGAAATGAATCAATAGACTAAAGAAAGCAAATTGCCTTGCTTGTGTGGGTGTGCATCATCTAATCTGTTGAGAGCCTGAATAGAACAAAAAGGTGGAAGAAGGCAGAATACATTCTCTGTCTGACTGCTCCAGTTGGGACATCAGTCTTCTGTTCTCAGAAAGGAAGTTACACTATTGGTTCTGATGCTTTTCAAGCCTTTGGACATCTTTCCAGGGTCTCCAGCTTGCAGATGACAGACTGTGGGACTTCTCAGCCACCATAGTTGTGTAAGCCAATTCCTTATAGTAAATCATTGGTTCTGTTTCTCTGGAGAACCCTGACTAATACACAGGACCAAAGTAAAGGGAACATGTGGACCTTCAAGGACTCACTGAATGAAAGAGTCTAAGAACATGTTTGGTCAGATAAGTGTTGTCAGGGTGTGAGGATAGAAAAATCTCCATAGGCCCTAACCGGTGGCTTAGTTGGTTAGAGCATTGTCCCAATATGCCAAGGTTGCGGATTTAATTTCCAGTCAGGGTACATACAAGAAGCAACCAATGAATGCAAAAATAAGTAAAACAACAAATTGATCTCTCTCTCTCTCTCTCTCTCTCTCTCTCTCTCTCTCCTCTTCCTCTTCCTCTCAAAAGTCAATTTTTATTTTTTTAAATATATTTATTGATTTCAGAGAGGAAGGGAGAGGAAGAGAGATAGAAACATCAATGATGACAGAGAATCATTGGACAGCTGCCTCCTGCACACCCCTTACTGGGGATCGAGCCCACAACTCAGGCATGCGCCCTTGACAGGAAATGAACCTGGGACCCTTCAGTCCCTGGGCCAATGCTTTATCTACTGAGCCAAATTGGTCAGGGCTCAAAAGTCAATTTTTTTTAAAAAAACTTTTTAAAAAAGAAGAATCTCCATAAAGGAGAAATAATAAAAAATGCATAGTTCCACCTGGCCAGTGTAGCTTCAGTTCCTATTTTTATTTTTTGAAATATATAAATATATAAATATGTATATATCCATATACATACATATATCCCAGGCTAGATATATGCACATGAGTACACACACACCTCCTACTTCAAAGAAAATTTGGCATGAGATTCACCAACATGTTAATAGTGACTATCTATAAGTGGTAGGATTACAAGTGATATTTATTTTCTTCTTTATGCTTTTTGTGTGTAACAAACAACAGTTAGTTATATGATGTTATGGAATCAGAAAAAAGTCCTATCTGTTTTTAAAAAATGGATGAAAAAATCCTTCACTGGTGTTCTTATAAAACTAGCAAAGAAAATATCTACAATTAATGACTCTTAGAGGGAAGAAGAGTTAATATAAGATCAATCATATAGGGACAATTTGCATGCGGGTAAACTTGATTTTCCAGATCTCCAAATACTATGGGAGGGCTAGAATTTTTTTTGATTTGTCTAAGCCAATCAACACAGATTGGGAGGATGATCAGAACACTCAGAACGTATTTTGAATTAATTGCCTCTAAAATTTTGCTTAAATACTCAAAGCAAAAGAAATGTGGATAAAAACAACAACAACCAACCCAAATCCCTTCATATACCTATCTAGTTGCAATAATATATCTAACTGGTCTCAATAATTCAGGAATATTAATAAGAAAGATCTAAAGCTCCTTCACAGGCCATCATGAGCTCCCCAAGGCATTCTATTTTCTTTATTATGCTTTGGGTTTTAGACAAAATCTATCAAAATTTAAAAATAAACATACAGGAGTGGGCAATATTAGGTTTAAGTTGTTTGTGAAATACAGTTTATTCTTGTATTAATTATTTCCCATATGAACTATAAACGTACTTTTGCCCACCCCTGTATGTGTGTGTGTGTATATATATATATATCTGTGTGTGTGTGTGTGTATATATATCTTTTGATTTAACAATTTAACTTCTATGAACTTAACCTACAAATCTTTATATACTTTGCCAAGTTACATGTAGAAGATGTTTACTGCTGAATTGTTTATAGTAGCAAGGAACTAGAAACAACATACATGAATTCCAATAGGAGGTGGATGATAAAAATAGAGTTTGTATATAGTATGTACAAGATTTACATAAGGCCCATAAGAATCACAGAGTTTAATCTGCCTTGGATAATTCCAGCAATATTATAAATTGGTAGAATCAACCGAGGCAGAGAGAGAGATAAAGCAGAACGATGGATGGTATGCTCCAAATCCACAGGGAAAAGAAGCTATGGTAATATATTCATCCACCATTTGAATGTGTCTTTCTTTGAAAATGAAATCATTGAGAGTCACCTAGAAGCTAAAAGAAGTGGTCAGAGTGGAAGGAATAAGGGAGCCTAGCTCTGTTGGGTAATATATTTTAACCTCAGAAATGTAAGAGAAAAAATAGTGACAAAATTGTCCTCGTTGATATGAAGTTCTGTCTTGATTTTTCATACCAGCTACTGCTGATAACATTATGGAGCAAATTCACTGAAGAGTGAAATTTATTTTTTTGAAACCAAATGTATAGAGATGTTTAAAAACTGTTCATCCATGCACAAAATGAAAGGAATATGCAGTACAAACACACATAGAACACTAGGTAAAAAGTGAAACTGTATTTCAGCAGTGCAGGGGTGTGGGGGAACGATGTGGCTACCAATCAGAGAAACTCAGAGGTTATCATAACATGACCTTTTCATTCAGGACTGGGCCAAGTCAGGAAAGGAGACATGAAGGAAAGCAGAGAGAATATTAGGGAAAATGATATTATGTCTTTTTCAAACAGGAACTTCTTTTGAGTATTGCACATGCCTTATCTATACCTAATATATTTTGACATAACTGTGTTCAAGCCAGAGCCATTTGATTCCTCCCTCTGTGCCAAAGGACAGCCTTCCTTTTGGCCTCTCCTCAAGAACAAAGCTGATAATATTTCAGAGGAAATCATAATGAATTGATCGATTCTAAAATAAAACCACAGTATGTAATCACTGAAAACTTACTGCATTAGAGGAACTTGATAATTCAGCTTCTAAATATCTGGTAAGTACTACTTTTTGTAATATTTTAAGCAATAAAGAAAATAAAAGTGGTAAAATATGCAAAAAAATAAATAAATATCTGGTAAGGCTATTTAGTGACAAAATTGACTACCTAACTGCTGAATTTCCTCATCATGTCTGTAATTTCTCTTTCACTACAGTTTAATAGGCTACAAATGAATTTTTCAGGACAGTAAATGTAAAACTTCCAGACATATATAAAAGGCCTACAATGAAGAGCTCTATTGTAATGCAGCTTATATTAGACCCTTGTGATGCAACTTTATCCAGTCTTCCATTTGTTTCACCTCAACACATCAGTGATCCAACAAGTGAAAAGTTTCCATATAGTCAAGAAAATTTTGTTCATCATCTGATCACTCACCACGGAATAATAATTCTTGGTAAGTGGAGTAGTTTCAAATCCTTTGATAGCCTTGGGGGAGAGAGGTCTCTCTGTGAAAAAAAAATTTAATTATATTAATATCATACAAGTATAAGATGAACATTTTATAACATAGGTCAACTAAAACACCATAAATATTATCAAGTGGAAAGATCAATGGAAATATACATTCCTAAACAAGAAACCATAATTTTACCAAACCACATATGGTCAAAGTTAGATCTTCTTATCCAGATCCATCAATTTCTGAGGGGGAGAATAAGACAAGGAGTTAAGGTTTAGCTACTTAATGCCAGGGTGGGGGCAAGAACTTCACTCCCAGCTTCAGGTTGTTCCACTCAGCTTATCAAAACAGATAAATAAGGAAGGCCAATGCTAACCAAATGCATATTTGTAACTTGCAACTTACAATTCAAGTATAATATAAATAATAGTAACCATACTTTCTTAGGGCTATCTACTGTGCCAAAAATAAAATAATCAGAATATATAATATACTAAAACAAGCAGAAAACTCTTCTCTTTTATGCATCATTTTAATATTAATACATTATGCTGTCTTTCTTTTACAAAGTTAATTTTACCTATTAAACTCATGACTAAGAGACATCCTAGTACCTTTTTCCTTTAGAAAAGAAAAGCAGTTAATAAAAATACAAGACATTGGTGATAAATGTTTAACAGTCACTACATACTATCTTTCCTACCCTCATTTTCTCCTTTGCTTCATTTTGTTTTATATTCCACTTTTATCTTGCTACATTGTATGTGGTTTTAACCTTTCTGAAGTATGAGGGAGTGTAAATAACCAAACAATATACTAACATCAGGCCTTGATTTTTCTTTTTTTTAATTATATTTTCTAGTTTTAAATCTATTACATATCCACCCTAAAAATGCAAAACATAGAAAATTTAGAAAAAAGAAAAACAACGGTTGGCCCATCACCCAGAGTAACATTTTGAAGTGTGTCTTCTCAAACATACAAACGGATCTTTCTTACTTTACCTACAGTTTTATAATTCTACTACTACAACATTATTTCATGGATGATTTCCCATTTAACCTTTATTTCTAATTATTATTATATTTAAAATATCCCTTATGTTTATTTGACCCATAACAGCTTTTAAAACATTTTTTATTTCTACAACAACCCTGTCAGGCAGAAATGATCTCATTTTGCAGGGGCCACTAAGGTTCAGAAAGGTGCTGTCAGCTGCCTAATGGTATGAATCCGGGAAACACAGGTGTGCTTTGATAAGGAGCTATGCTTCTAATCAACATGAGGTCCTGAGATAAAGCTATTGAAGGTTTCAATTGATGAGTAATTGTTCCTACTGGAGTTCAGAAAGACCATCAGTTTGACTTGGGGTGGTCAGAGAAGACCTTGCTGGGCAGAGGACACATGATCTGGCTCTGGAAGGTGGCTAGAATTCAAACAGGCATAGAAGACAGTAGGGAGTTTTGTAGTCAGGGAAGATTCCAGAAACACAGCTATAGTAATGACAATGCTCAAGGCAGAACTGTTCCTGTGATGGAGAATTGTACAGCTTTGCCAGGCTGAGCAGAGTGGAAACAAAGTAAAAAGGCAACAATGAGGGCCAATTCGATCATTTCCCAGTGATGACAAATGGGGTATGGCCAGTTTGAGGAAAGTTTATGCTATTTCAAGATCTGCCTGGATCCACTTGGTGGCTTCACAAGGCTTTACTGGGTGAACCTGAGCAATGTGGAACCACCTTGCCTATTACTTGAGATTGTAAGTGGCAGTGACAGTACTTGAACCCAAGTATTGCATTACCAAATCTGGTGTTCTTTCCAATACACCATGGTTTTGCACTCTTAGACATATTAAAAATTGACCATTACCAAATTCTTTTAGTTTTGTATTAGGCAAATTTTCTATAATGTAGCTATAATGGTTCTACTTAGAACTCAGTTGTTCTGTGGAATTATAATGTAAACCAGTATTGATAAAAATAAAACTTCTAGCCCGGCCGGCATGGCTCAGTGGTTGAGTGTCAACCTATAAACCAGGAGATCACAGTTCAATTCCCGGTCAGGGCACATGCCCGGATTGTGGGCTCGATCCCCAGTGTGAGGCGTGCAGGAGGCAGCCAGCCAATCAATGATTCTCTCTAATCATTGATGTTTCTATCTCTCGCTCCCTCTCCCTTACTGTCTAAAATCAATTGAAAATATATAATTAAAAATAAATAAATAAAACTTTCTAAAAATAACATCAAGATGTGGTTACCTTTCAAAAGCAAGGCCAAAGGGAAGAGTAAACAGTAATTAGAGCCTGCCAAGACATAGAAAAGGAAAGGAAAGGCCATAGGAATGGGTCTTTGTAATTGAAACAAAATGTTAACTAAGTAACTTAAAACTGAGAATCATGACTTGAAAAGAAAGAAGTGGCTGCCATGGAGATTACTGGGTGGATGAACATGATGTAAAAGAGCTGGTGCTTTGATAAGGTCAATAAAGTGTCAAACTCTAGCAGACTGACAAAAAAAGTGAGAAGACACAATACCATACGAGGAGTGAA